GTGTGTGTGGTGTGTGTGTGTGGTGTGTGTGTGTGGTATGTGGTGTGTGTGTGGTGTGTGTGGTGTGTGTGTGTGGTGTGTGTGGTGTGTGTGTGTGGTGTGTGTGATGTGTGTGGTGTGTGTGGTGTGTGTGTGTGTGGTGTGTGTAGTGTGTGTGTGTGGTGTGTGTGGTGTGTGTGTGTGTGGTGTGTGTAGTGTGTGTGTGTGGTGTGGTGTGTGTGTGTGTGGTGTGTGTGAGTGTGTGCTGTGTGTGTGTGTGTGGCGAGTGTGTGGTGTGTGTGTGTGTGTGTGTGTGTGATCTTGGTGTGTTTGTCAGCGGGCATCTCGTCCGTGTCATTACAAGATTCTCGCCCCGGTTCACCGAGAGCCTTTCTTCGTGGCGGCCCGGTTGACTTTCCTGCTTTGTCGCTTTTCTAACTAGGAAATCTTCCCCCCTTGTTTTTATCTCCCGGCTGCCCTCGGTCTTAACGATGTCAATCAGCTCAGGTGTTTATCGCAGACCAGACTGCATGTGCGTGTGCATATGTGTGTGTGCACGTGAGAGTGTGCATGCCCCGGTGAGGGTGTGTGGGAGGAGTCGGTGCCTGGGTGGGTGTATCTGTGGGTGTTGGGGTGCGGCCTCTGGGAGTCTCGCTAGCTGCTGTCTAGCTCTGCATGTGTGTGTCTCTGGGGTCCTGGGGAGGGGGGGTAAGGAGCAGCCACATCCTGCACGTGCCAAGTGGCTTCCTGAATGTGCCTTCGGTCCCCCAGCTTGGGGACCCCGCAAGGACTTTCCGGTCCACCACCCCAGCGGGGGCAGGGATCTTGAGGACCAAAGGGCCAGAGGATCGTGGCTTTCTAAGTTTTAGCTGTTTGGATACTGCGTGGGCGGGGGCACCACGGCCTCCCTGGCCTCGGGCCTGTCAATCACTCCCTTGGTGATGCCAGTGGGGAGGGGCTCCTGCTGAGCCTGAGCCATCGCGCTGCCCCTGGGCTGCACCTGAGAATCTCCTGCTACAGCCGCAGCCCAGACCAGCAGACTCAGAACCTCCAGGGGTGCAGCCCGGCCTCGGGAGACCTCTCCCCTGGGCACCGCGGGCGCAGTGCCCGGGGCCCTCCATACTTTTAGGTGCTCAAGGCAATGTTCTGGTTTTATTTTTCATTAATCAGAAGGGAAAAGCCTGAACATAATGAATAATGAATCCATCCTGGATTACATTCCTCTTCCTACCAAGGCAGTCTTTTTTTTTTTTTTTTTTTAATGTTTTATTTGTTTCTGAGAGAGAGAGAGAGAGAGAGGCAGCGTGAGCAGGGCAGGGTCAGAGAGAGAGGGAGACACAGAATCTGAAACAGGCTCCAGGCTCTGAACTGGCAGTCAGCACAGAGCCCGACACGGGGCTAGAACCCACGAACCGTGAGATCATGACCTGAACTGAAGTCGGAGGGTTAACCGACTGAGCCACCCAGGTGCCCCAAGGCAGTCTTAAAATACACTTTTTGGGGGAGAGAGAGAAAGAGAGAGAGCCCAAGCAGGGAAGGGGTGGGGTGAGAGGGAGAGAGAGAATCCCAAGCAGGCTCGGTGCTCAGCGCAGAGCCTGATCTCATGGACTGTGAGATCATGACCTGAGCGGAGATCAAGAGTTGCACATTGCTGGGGCGCCTGCATGGCTCAGTCGGTTGGACATCTGACTTCAGCTCAGGTTATGATCTTGTGGTTCAGGAGTTCAAGCCCCTCAATGGACTCTGTGCTGACAGTTCAGAGTGTGTTTGGGATTCTTCCTCCCTCTCGCTGCCCCTCCCCCACTCACACTCTCACTCAAAAATAAACAAACATTAAAAAAATAAAGAAAGAGTTGGGCATTACTATGGAGGGAGGAGCCCAAGGATGTCTGCACGTGGCTCCCGTGTGCCCCCCCCGCCCCACTATTTGCAGACCCTGGTCTGGGGTTTGGTTTTGGTTTCAAAGCTCGATGCAGGCTCCTTGCTCCTGGGGTTTTCAACAAGAATGTCAGCATTTTAGGACCGTCTTGTGTGTTTAAGGTTACCGAGTGTACTAACGCTTCTTCACCTATTTCTTCACCGATCCTGCCAAGAATGCTTCCAGATGGGAAGGAAACACATCATCACCGTTTACAGACAAAGTCATGGAGACATAGACTAAGGGATGGACCCCGGGGCCATGGAGCATGTCCATAGAAGAGTGACTTCTGGTCCTAAACTTCACCTTGCACTTGTGAAAATACAGACCCCCGCGCCTCTTGCCTGGAGATTCAGATTCAGAAGACGGGGGGGGGGCTCAGGGGTGTGCTTTTTTTTTTTTAAAGTACTGGGGCCGGGTGCCTGGGTGGCTGTCAGTGGGTGAAGCATCCAACTGAACTTCGGCTCAGGTCAGGATCTCACGGTTTCGTGAGTTTGAGCCCCGCATCGGGCTCTCTGCTGCCAGCACGGAGCCCACATTGGATCCTCTGTCTCCCCACCTCTCTCCGCCTCTCTCAAACTCATGCCCTTTTTCTCTCTCAAAAAGGATTTCCATCAGGACCTGTGGCCAAGCCACCTGCTGTGTGGTCAGGGCAAGTCATTTAAATCCCCCCATGCCCCCCCCCCCCCCCCCCCCCCCCCCCGGGCCACGCTCCTCTCCTCTCTACGCAGAGGTGGGCTGATCCTTCCAGCTCTGAAAGTCTGCGCTGGGAAATGGGAGGGTCTAGGGATAAGTTATGGAATGTGCTGGAACTCGCCGGCGGCTAGGTCTTGCCCCTCTTGGCCTATGGGAGGGGCAAGAGAGGAAACTTCTTAATGCTCAGGCTGGGCACCGAGGCGTCAGTCTCAACTAGGACCAGGCGGCGCCAGTTTTCATGAGCAGGACCAGCCTCACCAACTGGATGAGACTTAGTCACGAGAACTAGCCGCCCGTGTCCCCTTGCCACCGTCTGCTGCCAGGCGCACGCGTCTCCCTCAGCACACGGGGTCCCTGTGAGGACGGAGCGTGGCCGCCTCTGCGCGTCACTGGAAAGCCCTCACGCAGCTTTACAGGCGGGTCGTGGGGCCGCCTTGCTTTCTAGGCCGTGAATGCCACCGTTAGAGCGTCTCTCTTTTTTTTTTTATATAGTTTTATTTATTTCTAGGAGAGAGAGAGAGAGAGAGAGAGAGAGCGTGAGCAGGGGAGGGTCAGAGAGAGAGGGAGTCACAGACTCTGAAACAGGCTCCAGACTCTGAGCTGGCTGTCAGCACAGAGCCCGACGCGGGGCTCGAACCCACGAACCGCGAGATCATGACCTGGGCGAAAGTTGGAAGCTTAACCGACTAAGCCACCCAGGCGCCCCTAGAGCGTCTCTTTTGCGCTCATGGAGCTCAGGCAGGTGTTTCTTCCTCTGGTCGTGAATCTCGCAGCCCGTTCCCTGGAAGCAGAGCGAGTAGATGCCCAGGGCGCACTCAGGCCCGTGCAGGCCCCGGGAGCTGGGGTGAAGGGGACCGAACAGGTGTACTTCGGTGGGGAGGAGGCGGGTCGCCAGCAGGTGTCGGTGGTAGAGCTGAGGCCCAGGGGAGGAGGCGGCTGGGAGGGGCCGGCTTCCCAACAGGGGAGAAGTGTTCTGACTCCACCGTAGAATCTTCTCTGTAAACAGCTGCTGACACAGGGCTTCAAGGTAAGAACGCTTTGTAAGGTGGGGAAGGGCCGTAGCTTTATTTTGTGGAGATACTTTCTGCCCATTTAAAGTGGATGAGCAATGGTTTGAGGGTTTTTGGGTATAATCGTCCACAGGGTTTTGCCGCTGTCTCCGTAATCAATTTTACATTTTCATCACCCCGAAAAGAGATCTTGACCCTGACAGCTGTCAACCCCCAATCTCTCCCCACCCCCCGCCAGCCTTAAGCAACTACTCGTCTCCTTCGTCTCTATGGGTTTGCTCATTCCGGACGTTTCATACAGCGTGTGGTTTTTCATGTCTGGCTCTTTTTTCACTTAGCCTAACGTTTTCTTTCTTTCTCTCTTTCTCTCTCTCTCTCTCTCTTTCTCTCTCTCTCTCTTTCTCTCTTTCTCTCTCTCTTTCCTTTCTTTCTTTCTTTCTATGTTTTTCATTTATTTATTTTTTAGAGACAGAGTGAGACAGAGCATAAGCCCGGGGCGGGAGGGGGGGTGCGGTGCACAGAGAGAAAAGGAGACGGAGAATCCGAATCAGGCTCCAGGCTCTGAGCAAGCGTTCAGCACAGAGCCCGACGTGGGGCTCGAACCCCTGAACCGCAAGATCATGACCCGAGCCGAAGTCGTACACTTAACTGACTGACACCCCCCCCCCCGCCCAGGTGCCCCTATCATAACGTTTTCAAGGTTCATCTGTGTTGTGGCCTTTCAGCCTTCTGTTGTGTGCACGGACCACATTTCATTGCTCTGTTGATGGCTACCCTTAACCACGAAGGAATTCATGGCTCTAAAGTTGCTATTCAGTGTATTGGCTGTTCTCAAAAGAAGTAGCTGGGTGCTTTTTGTCAGTAAAACTGAATGCTTGTTAGTGTTTCTGAGGCGGGAAGAGAGAGCTTACCCCCTCGCCCCCAGCAGGCTTGGTGACCAGGCTTGGGGGCCCCCCTGAGGGTGTTCCAAAGGGCTCAGGCCTTTGGCCTTGGTGCCTTTCTTCCTAAGTCTCTCTGAGTATATTTATTTATTTGGAGAGAAGGAGGGGGTGGGGGACAGAGGATCCGAAGTTGGCTCTGTGTTAACAGCAGAGCCACCTGACACGGGGCTCAAACTCATGAACTACAGGGTCATGACCTGAGCTGAAGTGGAAGCCTAACCGCCTGAACCGCCCAGGCGCCCCTGCTAAGCGTCCTTATCTGCAGCTGGAGCGGCGTCTCCTTCAGGTGTCTCTGCTAAGGCCTGATGTGTGGCAGGGCGGCGGGGGGGCCTGAAAACCGTTTTTCCACTTGGACTCGGAGCTCAGTGCTCCCCACACACCCCATGTCCCTCTCCAGCTGAGGGGCCACAAAACACCCAGAGCCATTTGTTGGGGGGAAACCCCCAACAGTGAAAGGACCCCCCCAGTCTGGGCTGACCCCCCTAAAGCTCCCTGGGCACGTGGCTCCCTGGGGAGAGTGGACCGAAAGTCCCACTGTCCCCATCACAGCGAGTGAGCAAAGGCCTAAGGTGTCCTCCTGGGCTTGTGGCTTGACCTGGGCGCTCCACAGCTGACGGCAGCTGGAGAGGGTCCTTGGTCTTTGACAGCGAAGTGGTGGCTGTACAGGGGGTGGGCGGGAGGCGGATGCAGGGGTGGGGTGGGGGGTAGGGCTGTAGCTGGTGTGTTAAACTCACAGCATGCAGGGCACCCGGGTGGCTCAGTTGGCTAAGCGTGCGACTCTTGATCTCAGCTCGCATCTTGAGCTCACGGTCATGAGTTCAAGCCCTGCACTGGGCTCCGTGCTGGGTGCAGATGCAGATGATGCCCCGCTGAATGAGGAGGCGTGGGGCCACCCTTGTGGGGTCCCAGGGGCAGGTCACTCCCTTAGTATGGGAGCTCCCACCTTGGGGAAGTGAAACCCATGGGGTCGTTCTGATTGAGAGTGCAGTTTGAATATACCCACGCAAGGGAAGTAGAGTCAAAAGATATATTATGTAAGAAAATGGGGGGGTACTGCCGGAGGCCGGCTCCGGCAGGTCGAGGGGTCCCTGAAGGATGGATGTGTCGGCGAGAGAGGGAGTGAGAGAGCCCCGAGATTCTTTCTGATCACCAGGCAGGCATCTCCACCCTGTCGGTTTTGGTGTCTTTATTTAAAGGTTCAGCAACAAGATGAAGTCAGAGAAAGGAATTTCTTACAATGGGAGGCCTTTTGTGATATCAATTGCAGAATTATTCTGGCCAAGGAAATAACAGAATGTTCTTAGTGAAAAATAGGATAACATATAGGTTAAGTTGTATATAGATAAGCTAGGAGTATTTTCTCTGGCTCTCAAGAGGATGAATGTTTCTGAATTGGTTTGTTTGTGGAGACTATCATGGGGGCCCTGAATGGGTCAGTTTTTGCCCCTGGGTTATGTTTCAGCTACTCTTTTTTTTTTTTTTTT